TATATATATACACACACACTATATATATATACACACACACACACTATATATATTATATATATATACACACACTATATATATTATATATAAAATTATAAAATGTATATACATATATGTATATATCTATATATATATATTCCGAGTTGATCACCTTTAATGAATAATTAATGAATAGGTGGTGTTCTTTTGTATTTCATCCATTGAAAATTTAAGGATAGCAGATATAGGTATTCAGAATCATCAGAGATGCCTACCTCCTTTTTCCATATAGTGGACATCTCCTTACCTCCAGCAAGTTCTGTAGCTTATTAGGCAAACACATCAATCAAGGTGTGCCTTGAGAATTGATTAAGATTTCATGACATGTTTCCATTTTGTTTATGGGTTCATTTGATTGCTTTCTGATTCATGAATACTTTTTGACTATTAGCTGTCTGCCAACTAAAAATTAGTATGTTTGTTCTGAGCTTTCCTTCAGTCATGCCTCCCAGTAATTACTGGCTCAATTCAGGCCCACAAATTTGGAATGTAATGCTCAAAATTCTGTAAAGTGACTCCAAAGTGAGATATTGGTTCATCTATAGGGAGCATATCTTTCTCAAAAACAAGTAGAGATTCAACAGGAGATCCAAGATGGAACAGATAAACACCGTGCCTGCTTCTTTCCATGAATACATTAAAATTACAACTAAATTATAGAACAATTAACCTGGAGAACCATCTGAAGTCTGGCTGTACAGAAGTTTTATAATTAAGGACATAAACAAGAAGCTGCATTGAGACTGGTAGGAGGGGCAGAGACGCGAAATGGGCTGGTCTCAAACCTCCACGTGGACGTTGAAAATAGGGAGAAATACCTTGGCCATGGAGGTTCCTCCTGGAGGGGCAAGGGACCCCAGCCACACTCCAGGTTCCCCAGCCCAGAGTACTGGTGTGGGGAAGAGGTGCCTCCACAATATCTGGCTGTGAAAAACAGTGGGATTCCAACCATCCAGGTAGGATGGAAGGCCGCAGGAAACCCAGATGTCCTCTTAAAGGACCCATGCACAGACTCACTCACTTGCAGGCACTCACCTTGGGCTCCAGTGGAGGGACGGTGACTCGGGGCATCAGAGGCGTACGGGGAGCAGACTGAGGTGTGTGGTTTGGAGGCCAGGGCCGGAGGACAGTCCCATTTTCCTTGTGAGGCATCCTTCTCCCATGCAGCTGGGCAGACAGCCACCATCTTTATTGTGTTAAACCCACCTCCTATGCTTACAGCCAAATCTGAATCTGATTGGTCTGGTGAGCTCCAGGGCTCCACCCTGCTGACTCAGCTGGGACCCCGCCCCACCCAAGTTCCCTAATGCTGGAGGCACTTTCTTGAGAGCGGCCAGCCCTGCCCCCATTGCACTCTTTCTTGGAAGACTATCAGAGTCCACAGGCCTGACACTGGTGGCAATTGGCCTCAGTGTGCTCTGAGATTTTTCTTGAGTAGCTCCAGGCCCGGCACTGGCATCAAATAAGAATCTACATTAACCTAGTGACCACAACGCTTCCTACTCTAGTGACTCCCTGAGACCCTGCCTTACTCAACTTCCATACCACAAGAGGCTTTATCAGTGGCTGAACCTTAAGGGAGATGCCAGGTGGCAGCAGGCCTCAAGGTGTCCTGGCATTTTGTGGATCTACCCAGCAAGGCTATCATTTAAAATCAAAGGACAGATAAAGAGCTTCCCAGACAAGTGAAAGCTAAAGGAGCTCATCACCACCAAACCAGTATTACAAAAAATGTTAGAGGGAATTCTTTAAGACAGAAAATAAAAGAGATCAAAATTATGAATAATAAAATGGCAATAGCTGCATATCTATCAACAATTACTTTTAACATAAATGGATTAAATGCTTCACTCAAAATACACAGGAAGGCTGGATGAATAAGAAAACAAAACCCTTACATATGCTACCTACAAGAGACTCACTTCAGATTGAAAGACACATACACAGTCAGATAGTAAAGAGATGGAAAATGATATTTAATGAAAATGGAAAAAAAAAACAATCTGGGGTAGCCATACTTATACCAGACAAAACAGACTGAAAACAAAGTCTATATCAAGAGACAAAGCAGGACCCAGTAATCCCACTTCTGGTATTTATCCAAAAAAACCCAAAATGCTACTTCAAGGGGACGTGTGCATCCATATGTTCACTGCAGTACTGTTTACAATGGCCAAGATGTGGAGGCAGCCTGCGTGTCCATTGATGGATGAATGGATGAAGAGGAGGAGGTACATACTCATGTATACAATGGAATATTACTTGGCCATGGAAGGGAATGGGTTCTTGTCATCTGTAACGGTATGGATGGACCCAGAGGGTATTGTGCTGAGTGGAGTATGTCCAACAGAAGACGACAGATGCAATGTGATTTTGCTTATATGTGGAATCTAAAGAACAAAATAAACAAATCAGAAACAAACAAACAAAAAACCACTTAATTTTATGTGGCTACAGATTGTAGCACTAATAATTTATTAGTATTATTGTATTATTTAAGCTTTAAAATTATTTAATCCTAGATCTTCAATATTTTAATCAGTCCCTTCTATATATTGCTATTATTATTAAAGCAAAGGGAGGAAATGTGAAACCCTAAAATAAAAGAGAAATAGGACTTATTTTTGCTTTGCCTTTTATTTTAAATGGTTTCCTGCAACTTGCTGGCTTTAGGTGGATGCCAACCCAAGTGATTGATTAACATTTCTACTGTCTCATCTTCCTGGGACAGTGTAATATATGGGGGTCAGATGTTGAGAAATTGACTTGTCTAATTTAAATGTAACTTTTAAAAACTTAGATATTAAACCTTATATTGTCATTAATCAAATGTGTTTAAAATTTTTTCACTTGTCATGCCCCCCAAACCGGGTCTGTTGATCATTGTCATAGAGCTGGTGAAGACTTCAGAGGTCTGAGAGCTGAATGCCACCATCCATTTGACAGCACCCCAAATCAATGGTCTCCCAAATTTTCTTGACTAGCTAGTATACAGGGTGGCAAACTTTTTCTGTAAAGTACCAGATAGGAAATATTTTGGGCTTTACAGTCTCTGTCAAACTACTCAACTCTGCTATTATAGGGCGAAAACAGCCTTAGACAAGAGACAACATATAGTCAATAGTTGTGGCTGCATTCCAATAAAATGGCAGTAGGTTGGATTTGGCCTATGGGCCATAGTTTGACAACCCCTAACTGGTGACTTTATGAGATAAAGCATTTCATTTATAAGACAATCCTGAATGTCAGTTCTTCATTTCATTCAGAAAATATTTACAGGGGGATTTCACTGGAGTGGTACAAAGAAAAAGTAGCTCCATTGTCCCTATGTCTCTGTCTGAGCTCTCCCATGTTTCTAACTGGCTCCCAGTTAGAAACTATATAGTCCAAAGACTGTATAGACTATATAGTCCAAAAGGCTTGTAAGGCGCCACGGGACATTGTTCTTGTTTTCCTCTCTTGCTTTACCTCTCACCACAGCTCTTCTCTACAATGCCTCAAATTCCTGAATTCTTTTTTTTTAAGATTTTATTGGGGAATTGGGGGAAGGAAACAGACAAGTTGCTGTCCTTTTGTCCTTCAGTCTAGTTGTGGAGGACGTCGCTTCACTGGCCCATGTTGGTATTGTGATCATTGCGCTCTTCCCGGATGAGGCAGTCACTCATCGGCCATTGGACGGCCACTCATGGCGGCTCACAGCAGCTCACAAAAGCACGCGCCAGCTACCGCCCAGCCCCACTGCAGCCTATGCCATCGCTGGTGACTCACAGCAGCCCAGCTCCAGGTTGAGCTGTTGTTCACCATCTTAGCTGTAGAGGGCAGTGTCACTGGCCCATGTGGGATCTGAACCGGGGCCCTGCTGCTCAGAGCTGGCGTCCCAAGCCAGCTCTTAACTAAAGCACCATTCGGCCGGCCCTCAGATTCCTGAATTCTATATCAGCTCTACTGATTTGGCCCCAAATTCAACTCTATTCTTTCAGCACTTAAGATCTTGATAAGTTCCACTCAAATCTTTACTGCATACCTTCTGGAGGTCCAAAACCTTCCTCAAAATTTATCCAAATTCCCAGGATGGGGGTGAAGGGTGGTCATTACTGACTTTGGATTCCCGGCTCCACTTATGCTGCTTCTATTCAACAACATTTTGACCCAGGTGCAAATCAAAACCACAAAGAGATATCATTTCACTATAATAAAAAAAAAAAAAGAAAGAAAGAAAATAAGTGTTGGCAAGCATATGGAGAAACTGAAACCCTCATACATTGCTGATGAGAATGTAAATTGGTAGAAATTTTCAACTATGGAAAACAGTTTGACATTCCTCAAAAAATTAAACACAGAATTACTATATGACCCAACATTCTGCTGCTAGGTATATACCCAAAAGTCTCTCTTTTTTTTCACAGGTATCAAGAATTGAGGGAGTCGCTCCAACAATGTACGCTTCCGTGGGGCGCTGACAGGGAATATGGCGGGATGATACCCATTTCGCTCCCTGAGGAACACAGGCCAAAACATGAACCTCCTCGTGTCATGGGCAAGGGACATCAGCACTATGGATTTGGGGGAGCGATCTGGCCCAGGTAAATAACCTTTCTGCCTGTCACATAGAGGTCTTCAGTACTGATTTTTCTTCATTTCTATAGTGAGTGCTCTGTTAACTTACATCTACCTCCAAACTTATTTCTTTTACTATTTATAAGATGGAAAAACTAATTATATAATTTCTAATTGTGAAGTCAGTAGAACATCTGTGTTTACGGATATCTTTGCTGTCCTTAGAGATGCTCAAGTATTATGATCAGAAATTTTGATTAATTTAATTCCCTTGCTAGTCACATTTTATCTCAAACTAAATGGGAATATCCCTGAGAGAGATTAAATTAAAAATGTTTTTGCTTGAGCAAATAGCTGGCCTAATTTGTACAGATGTTCTTGATTTTTTTGGAACTTCTAATTTTTAATTTGTTCATCAATCTATAGTCATTAGACTCTATTGGGTATTGTTTTCAAGTATTAAAATATTTCAATAATCATTTATAAATCTTAAAGTCCCTCTTGCAGCAAGTTTATTCAAAACACAGACTAAAACTGAAGAGAAAGCCAAAAAATATCTGAGCAATAAATTAAGTGTCACATTGACTATTTACTAAAAATTATGAAATTTACTCAAAATAAAACCCATCAAACCTTGACACACAGCCTTCTTACTCCCATGTTATCTAACAATCCTGTTTACCTAGTTTACTAACAATCTAGCTAACTAGTTTGTTCTAAAGCAGTTAAAAAAAATAAAATTAGGAAGACAAGTCACAGCGAGACAGAGAGAGAGAGAGAGACAGTAACAATAGGGACATGTGGCGGCCAATGACCTTATTGACGCCTCAGTAACGCAATAAAAAGCAGACCCATGAAAAAGCTTGTCAGTCCAATTAGAAAGACTTAAATATTGACACATAGAGAGTGAGGACCTCAAGTTCATTAATTCATCCAACACATTTTTTTCAAGGTCTTTACTCTCATGGAACTTACTTTCCAATATAATAGAGATTTATAATATCTTTGTAAAGTGGATATTGTTATCCTGGTTTTACAATAAATAGAGACCCAACAGATGCAGTACCTTTCCTTGGGTCAGGCAATTATGAAATTGTGGAACAGGGATTTGAGTCCAGGTTCATTTGACTCCAAAACCCAAGTTCTTTTCATCTGTTCATTCATTCACTTATTTATTCAGTAATTTGAGTATAGCAAGCATTGTTCTAGAGACTAGAGGTAAAGCTCCTTAAGGCATTTACAGCTATTGTCCCCAAATTTTGTACACTGAAAAAGTGCACAATATTCTAAAAGAATTAGAATTGTACTCACAGAATTCCAGTGTATAAAAGGAAAGCCAAAGACTTGTTTCTTAAGGGAAATCCAGCTTGAAATGAGAGGTTTATGTTTGGTGCCTCATGAAATGCAGCTCTGGTAGAGGAAATCCTGAAATTCCATCCCCAACTCAGAAATGCAAGTTAATGTATTCTGTTCCCTTCACATACTTTTATGTTAAATGCTATCATTTTGCCATATTTATGTCTTAAAAATATATTTAGGACAAAGTCCCATCTTCTAATACAAAGCAGGTTACTTGATAAACAACTACAGAATAGGTTTTGTTCCCCCCCAACAGAGAATAACTTCTATCACAATATTTTTTTTTCTCCCCCAAAAGAGCCTTAAACAAAATAATAAAACATTTTCCAGCTCTCTGAAGGGTCTGGCCCTTTCTGGGCCATATAAAAGCTCTTTCTCACAACCACCCCTGCCACCTTCCCTGGAGGGGATTTTCAGTGAGGTGTGGCGGTGCCACACATTCACCCGCCTCCTCATGGGAACAGGATCACTCCTTTGCCTCCTGACCTTCCCATTATATGACTTTGGAAATTAAAAGTACCTACTTTTTAGGAAGATGTCTAGGTGAGATGTCCTCCAGTATGTCTTCTGAGGGTAAGAAGAGAACATGGCTTACTAAAGGAAATATGATTACATTTATTTATTTATTTATTTTATTATTAGTTTCATGTGTACAGAACAATATAATAGTTATTCTTTTCACCCCTCACAAAGTAACAACGCCCCTCCCCCATCCACTGCCCTCCCACCCCTGATGTCATACGTGTCTATTACAATTCCATTGACTCCATTCCCACACTCTACTCCACATCCCGTGATTATATGTATATATAATTATAATTGACATACAATATTATTCAACATCAGCTTCAGAAATACAGTGCGGTGGTCAGGCCTCTACACTGTCTTATGCAGTGGTCTCCTTAACAAGAAATGAGTCCAACTGGCCCCCTAAAAAATACTTACGACATTACTGATTATATTCCCCAGATTGTCTTTTCTATCCCTGAGGCCATATTGTAGTTATCAATTTGTATTGTCTCATCCCTTCCCCTTCTCCTTTATCCCCACCCCCTCCCAACTAGCAACACTCAGTTTTTCCTCTGTGTCTCTGAAACTATTTCTGTTTACATTTCTCATTCAGTTTTTTAGATTCCACATATAAGTGAGATCATATGGCATGTGTCTTTCTCCGACTGACTTATTTCACTTAGCATAATGTTCTCTAGGTCCATCCATATCGTTGCAAATGGTACTATTTCCTTCTTCTTTATAGCTGATACATATATTTATGTATGCATGTTCTATTGCAATGTCAGCGTCATGTCATGTGGGACATCACTGTCCCTTCTGACACTTCTAGACATAACTACATCTAAGTAAAACTCTTTTAAAGGAACTTCAGCAATATCTAATTAACAGTAATGGGCGAGTTTCAGAAACTCTAAGCCAAGTCAGCCATCGCCAATTCAGCATCCATTCAGTAGGAGAATGAAGTCACAAAGTAATGAAAACTTATAATTTTGTTTTTATTTCCGTAAACACTTCTTTTATGTTTGGTAAAGTAGCATAATTTTTACTTCGTCTAAAAACAACACGAAATGGAGTCTTCCTCTTAATGTACTGTCAGATGTTAAAAAGCTATTAAATAGATATTTAGTGCTCTGCGAACTAAAGAATACTTTACAATTCGTGGTAACTCGTACTCTTTAATAATTATAAGAGTAGTAGCAGTAACACTTGGAGGCTAATATGACCATATAAATGAAGCAAAATCATATAATATCCATCTCCTGTTGCCTAAAAAAAGTACAGAATTTACCGGCAGCCCCCAAACAATAAGAGGAGAACAATCTTATGCCATTAATTTTAATGTACCAAGAAAATTCTTTGTAGTTCATTCCAGTTACTAATTAAATGTTTCTCAACAGGGCATTTGGGGCAGGACAATTTTTTGTCGCACATACTGTAAGATGTTCAGCATCTCTGTCCCTTTACCTATAAACACCAGCAGCATCCTGCACTCATTGTGACAACCCAAATGAAACCACGCATACATATTTCCAAGCTCTCCCTGGAAGCATCAGGGGTACAGGGGAAGCCATACTATTGGTTGAGAGGCATTACACGTAACCCCATCCCTATGTTCCAAATGCATATTGAGACAAGGTGAGTACAAAATCTTGATAATTCTCCAGTTTGAAGATTAAAAGATGGAGTCGGTAATCCTAATAGAAAAGGAAAAATGCCTCAAGAGCAGAAGCCCCTCTTTTAAAACAGCAAAATCTCAAAAGCATGAAGTTCTGCAGGATGTGTGCTCTCCGGAATGTTGTGTTAACTTGCGGGAACAGGCAGAAGTTCACAGGTGTGGGTACTTTCCTAACTGGAAGAAGGACATTTAATAGGATTTTAGACAGTAGTACCCAAGACCGCCGGCTATATCCTGACACCATCTGAGCACTTCCTCGCTGCCTCCCCCATCCCGTCAGGCCAAAGAAAAATGGAGAGAATATTCAGTCAAGCTTGTAGCACAGACAGAAAGGCAAACTGGTTTCAGATGGCAGAAAATCAGGAGCATTCACCCGCACTGTATCATAGCAAATGGCTGGGTTTAGACCGAGCTGCCCAATGTAATATGAGAACAAATTGCAAGGAGCCTTTGTAAACTGGGAAGAGAAGAGGGAAAAAAATGACATATAAACACACACATGCACACACACACACACACACACACACACACACACACACACACACAGACATGAAGAAACCAGTCTTGGAAAAATCATAACCCGGGAAACAAAAGTAGATTCCTTATAAAAGAACTAAGTATGTGAATCTAATAAAAGACAAGACAATTAAGCAACAGAATATTATAAAAGGGGAGATCACAGGTCTAAGAAAAAAATGAGCAAAACAACTCTTACAAATCTAGTAAGCAAAAAACAGCATAGATATGACTGAAAATTGACATAATGGTATAAAGAAAATAAATCACAGAGAAGCAAGTCAATCAGGATTTATCAACTTATCTTTCCTGCCTGAGAGTCAATATGATCTAAAAACTACTAATGACTCCAATATCCTAAATGTTTCAAAAACTTTTTCTTAACTTTATAGGAATCTTTTCGAAATTTATATCTATGTAGTGAAGAGATATTTATCTATACAGTTCAAAAATTCCTTCAGTTTTACTTTTTCATCTGTTAAAAGCTAATACTATTTAAAATTTTTATTTTTATTTTTTTTAGAAATTGCATGAACTTTGATCCTATTCTTGAACCTTCAGTTCTGACTGGAGCTGAACACCTCTCCATTCTCACTTCCTTAGGTCTGTTTTTTGGAGAGAGCTACCTAGAGTCACATTCTGTCTGGTGGGATTTGTATATACTATGTTGTGATTACCCAAATATTTATAATGAGGGTGTCCAGCTATGTATATGCCACACACTGTGCCAAGTGCTTTATAGACATTATCACATTTAAGTTAAATTACAATTTGCTCTTTTTTAAGTTCATTTTTCCAACAAAACTACTTCTGTTCTTTTTAAATTAAAAAATAAATTTTAATTTCACAAATTATTCACGTCTATGAGTTAGGATTTTTAGTTACAAACAACAGAATCCATTCTGGCTAGTTTAAGCAAAAGAGGATTTATCAGAGGATATTAGGTGAACTCATAAAACTGTG